TCAGAGGCCAGGCGAAGGCTGGCACACCCGTGGCCGCTAAAACCGAGCTCCGGGAAACTGTTTTCTTCTGCAGGGAAGCAGCCCGCTTCTTATTTGGCTCCCTGAGTTTCAAGCCGCGGATTTGTTTCTTGTCTTCCGGGAAAACCGTTTTAGCAGCCACGGATTTGCCAGCCCTCGCCCAGCTTCCGACGGATGGTGGAGCTCTGCAGCCTGGACCCTGTCAGGAGCGTGTTTCTGTATTGCTTTGGGTACGATGGGCATTACAGTCCCTGGCTCCCCCCCTCCCCCTCCCCCTACAACGTAACGCCCCTCCCCCCCCAGTGCGCTCCAGGCACCGCCGCCGTGCGCACGGCGGTGGGGAGGCGTCACAGTATACCCCCCCTGGGGCCCCTCCCGCCCCCCTGGAATGCCCATTCTCGCCGAAGGGCCTCCAGGGAGCCCGCGGGTCCTCCGCCACAAGCCGCGCGCGCGAATTCCTGCGGTCGGCACGCCGTCGCCGCCCGTGTGGGCGCCGCCTGGGCCGGCCGCCACAGGCCGGGCGTGCACGCGCCGCGGCCCGCTGCGGCAGGGTCACGGTCTCGGAGTTGCGTGCGTTCCTCCTCCTTCTCCTCCTCCTCGTCCTCCTCCTCCTCCTCCTTCACACCCTGATTTTTCTCCCGTCTTCCTCCCTCCCCCCCCTTTGCCTCGACGAGTGTAGGATGACGATTAATGCATGACTGGGGGTCGTGTTGCGTCGGTGGCGCCCCGGACATGATTAGAAAAAACTGGCCGCGGGCTGCTAAACTATTTGTATAATCGTTCCCTCCTGCCGTCCTCGGGCGCGCGGCCGCGTTTTAATTTAGTTGTTTACAAAACATCCTGTGGTGTTGGGTCCTCGTTGTGAAAAGACGGTCCCCGCGTCTCCTCCTCCTCCCGTGCCCCCCCCATCAGTGCGGGTATCATGCGTCCGCCACACCTAGTACAGCGCTTCGTGGCCCCATAGGGAGCCCCACGTAAGGCCCCAGTGGGGGTGGCCACATGCGTCCGTCACACCCAGTACAGCGTGTCGTGGCCCCATAGGGAGCTCCACAGAAAGCCCCGGTGGGGGTGGCCACATGCGTCCGCCACACGCAATACAGCGCTTCGTGGCCCCAGAGGGAGCTCCACCCAACGCCTCAGCGGGGGTGGCCACATGCGTCCGCCACACGCAGTACAGCGTTTCGTGGCCCCAGTGGGACCGTCGGCGTGCGTCCCGGAAGCCCAATTTAGTTTTTTCACTCATCCAGTACATCGCTTCGTGGTCCCATAGGGCGGAACCCCACCGAAGCCCCCAGTGGGACCGTCCGCGTGCGTCCCGCACACGGAATTCTACATTTTCACCCACCCAATACAGCGCTTGGTGATCCCAATAGGGAGCTCCAGCGAAGCCCCCAGTGGGACCGCCCACTTGCGTCCCACATGCCAAGTTATTTGGCAGTTTCACCCACGCAGTACAGCGCTCCGCGGCCCCATGCCACCGAAGCCTCCAGTGGGACCGTCCGCATGTCCCGGAAGCCCAATTTGGCATTTTCACCCACCCACTATAGCGCTTCGTGGCCCAATGTGGTATTTTCATCCACCCAGTACAGCGCTTCGTGGCCCATAGTGGGCTCCACCGAAGCCCCCAGTGGGACCGTCCGAATGCGTCCCGGAAGCTTAATTTGGCATTTTCACCCACCCAGTACAGCGCTTCGTGGCCCCATATGGGGGCTCCACCGAAGCCCCCAGTGGGACCGTCCGCATGAGTCCCACACAGCCAATTTAGCATTTTCACACACCCAATACAGCGCTTCGTGGCCCCATAGGGAGCTCCACCGACGGCCCCAGTGCAACCGCCCGCATGCGTTTTCCCCCACCCAGTGCAGCGTTTCGCGGCCCCATAGGGAGCTGCACCCAAGGCCCCAGCGGGGGTGGCCACATGCGTCCGCCACCACAGTACAGCGTTTCGTGGCCCCAGAGGGCGCTCCACCGAAGCCCCCTGTGGGACCGTCGGCGTGCGCCCTAGAAGCCCAATTTAGCATTTTCACCCACCCAGTACATCGCTTCGTGGTCCCGTAGGGAGCCCCACCGAAGCCCTCAGTGGGACCGTCCGCGTGCGTTCCGCACACGCAATTCGACATTTTTACCCACCCAGTACAGCGCTTCGTGGTCCCAATAGGGAGCTCCAGCGAAGCCCCCAGTGGGACCGCCCACTTGCGTCCCACATGCCAAGTTATTTGGCAGTTTCACCCACGCAGTACAGCGCTCCGCGGCCCCATGCCACCGAAGCCTCCAGTGGGACCGTCCGCATGTCCCGGAAGCCCAATTTGGCATTTTCACCCACCCACTATAGCGTTTCGTGGCCCAATGTGGTATTTTCATCCACCCAGTACAGCGCTTCGTGGCCCATAGTGGGCTCCACCGAAGCCCCCAGTGGGACCGTCCGAATGCGTCCCGGAAGCTTAATTTGGCATTTTCACCCACCCAGTACAGCGTTTCGTGGCCCTATAGGGGGCTCCACCGCAGCCCCCAGTGGGACCGTCCGCGTGAGTCCCACACAGCCAATTTAGCATTTTCACACACCCAATACAACGCTTCGTGGCCCCATAGGGAGCTCCACCGACGGCCCCCGTGCGACCGCCCGCATGCGTTTTCCCCCACCCAGTGCAGCGTTTCGCGGCCCCATAGGGAGCTCCACCGAAGAAGATATTTAAAATAGCGGTACCCACAACTGCATATAGTTGGGTCCTTCGCTAGGATTCTTGGGGTAAAACTATTCGACGTGGATTGTGTATGACGTAACGTTTGAATCCGACGCCAAATGAAATGTGAAGCCGACGTAGATTCGGCATTTGACGTAAAGTTTGCAGTCGACGTCGAATCATTATTCAATGTAAATGAGTAGTCGACACAAGATTCAAAGTCGACGTATAAGAGACATGTTGTCATCTTCCTGCTCCCGTTGAAAAATCATATATCGTCATCCCGCGTTACTCACACACAAGAGTGACCTTTCCCTGGAGTGACCTCTTTGGTGCGGGCCCAGTTCGGAGGCTGCCAGAAGTGTTCGTTGGACAAGGTTGGTCTCGCTGGACTCGAGGTCCTTCTGGCCCGACCTTAGGCACTCCAGCACGACCTGAGGCGCCCCAGCAGCCGTCGAAATCACCCTTCTTGAACCAGACCTTCTCGCCGTCCTCGGCCATTGTTGGGCCCCCCGATCGCGGGGCGCGATGCGATAGCAGCGTCTTGCGCGCTTGGGGTTGGCCCCCCCGGTGGCTCCCAAGAAGGCGCGCACCAAAGGTCACTCCTACCCAGGGTCACTCTTGCGTGTAGCCGACTGTCTCGGCGTTGCGTGCGGTCCTCCTCCTCCTCCCCCTCATCTACACTCGTTTTCCCCCTGTTGTTCCTCCCCCCTCCGTTTTCTCATCCTGCGGAGAGAGGGCTGGGAACGAACGTGTTCGGGGTGATGGCTCGGGCAGGCTCGAGCCGTCTCTGGGACAGCCTCAGGTCGACGTCGGGTTGCCAAAGGCTTCTCTTCCCACTGCGACGACGCTGACGACTTTGACTCGGCGTCGCCCCAACATACTACTGCTAGGTGTGCGTCGCCCACAGGGGGACGACGCGCGCACCGAGGCAGCTCATAGTCTATGATCGGTGGCGGACGCTTTCTGGCCATAACGCTCGGAAAATGATCTACTACAAGATGGTTATACTAGGTGTTTGTGACGGACGCACGCCTCCAAGGATAACATATAGTACTAGTATGTCAGTGTGCGTCCCAGTGACGATGTCGACGACGACTCTGCAGACGATGACGTTGTCGTCCACGTCGTTGTCGCAATTACTCGATTGGTGCGGGGCCACCCTCTCGCCCTGCTGCAGGACGACTGCTGACCGACTCTGGCCCTGCCGCTGCGCCCCTCCTGCCCGGGACCGTCGCATCGGACCCTCAGAGCCGTCGGGTGACAGATGACCCAGCGACATTCGACGAAGGAGCAATTGCTTCGGAGTATCGGCCGGATTTCTCGGATTGGCGCGGGGTCCCCCTGGCGGCGCCTCCGGCGCCGCCGCTGGCGCGCGGAGCGCGACAGGGAGGTGTGCCCAGCCCGACCCTCGAGTTCCGCGCGGACATTCGAAAGTTTGTGTTCACGGCGTTCTTTGCTTTATAGACGGGGGAAGCACGATGCCACACCAGACGGTCTGTCACCTAGTCATGAGGCGCGTCTTCGGAGGACAACCCCATTGCTCACCGCCCAGGGACCCCTCCTGGAGCCACACATTGCCTCGTGTCTGCAGGGGGCCAGGTTCACCCCTCCCCCTCGTCCAGCGGAGGGGGTGGGGCGAGAGGATGGGGTCATGGGGTCGCTGCTGCCGCGAGCTGTGCTTCGCAGATTCGATGGCATTCGGGTTCTTTCCCTGTCGGCGCTGTTTTTAGATCGTTCCTCGCTGAGGCTGCGCGGCCTTCTCTCAGAGGGCCGTCGCACAGGGTTTTTCGTCTGGCCCCTCTCGAGCCCATCGCGAACCTTTCGATCGACAAAATGGATGAGTGTCCAGGCGCGGAAGGGGGGGTTGGAGCAGGCCCGCAGTAGCTCCACGATTTTCGTGTGGTCCTTCGTGGTCTCACGGAGCACAGGTTGCACACCAGAATTGGTCTGGTAAACCTTTCACAAGCCAGTCGTGGTACGCGTGAATGATCCGCGGTCGCCTTCGGAAGCTGCGTTGTGGGGTCCGTCCGTGATGTTCTGCCCGACGCCGCCGACGTTATTGCTGGGCAGAGGGAGCTTCATGGGACCAGGATGGCAAACCGTGTGATGCAGGCGGGGCAGTGAATCTGCAGTGGTGGCATGATGACGGTGCGGTGATGGGTGCAGGGCGGGATGCAGGGGGAGTGAGGGGACGATGGCGGCGTGGCGTGGGCGGGGTACACTGGCAGGACGGTGACGGGACGCTTGCAAAGGGAGGCGGACGGTGGACCAGGAAGAGGGGGGAGGGCATGTGGCCAGGCGCTGCTCCACTGTCGCGACTGCAGCATGCCCCTGCTCAAGGTGAACGACATCGTCTCTGCCAGCTACCGCATCATGACCGGACGAGGAGGGCGCCAGCCCTGCCCCTTCCCCTGCGCTCTCGCAGGCTTCCTTCGCTGCGTTCGCGGCGTCGAGATCCACCGCGCCGACACGTGTGCTCTTCCCCGTCGTCGGTCACAACCCCCTCGTGCAGGGGGGCTGTGCCAAGCTCGGGGTCGGAGGAGGAGGAGAGCAAAGACGAGGAGGAGGTGCCGCGTGTCGATGCCACCCTGGACCCCGACCCTGGGCGCGCATCCCCAGAACATCCGGGCGGCCTCCAGAGGCTTCCAGAGGCCCCCACAAGACTCAAAAGCGCAAACCGATTATCCAAATATGTTTCCCAAACTTCCCCCTCTGATCCTCGAGATGGTGAAATTGTTTATGTATTGTTTTGCCGATTGGCGCGGGCCTTCATGCCCCCCCCCCTGCCCCCCCCCAGAGTAGATCTTGGCTGTTTTTTGGCGCCTGTTTCGAGCGGGTGGAGCCTCCCCGAGAGGCCGCACTGCTGCAAACCGTCCCTCCAGGCAGAGGAGGTCCAGAGCCAGACCCTCCCCTCTCCCCCTCCTTCCGCCCAATGTCGAAACGCCAATGTTTAAAAACAAAAAAACACGCTCACATGTGCCGAGGGCAAAACGTGGCAAGGGGATGGGGAGACGCGAGGGAGGCGGCGGGAGAGGGGGGCGGGCCCAGCCCCCGGGGCTGGGGCCGCGCGAGGCGTGGCCTGCTCGGCCCGGGCGATGCGAGCTGGGCGGTGCTCTCCCGTCGCCCCACTCGTCCTCCTCCCCCTGGAGGGTTTCTCTGAAGAGCTTAGGCGACCCGTCCTCCTCAGGCTGCTCGCATTCCGTACCGTTGACGTTCCTTCTTGTTTGGGTCCTCCTTTTCCCCTTCCCTCCTCCTCCTTCCTCCCCCTTCTAATCCATTTCATCCTCCCCCTCCTCCACCTCCTCCTCCTCGTCCTCTTCCTCGGGTCGCCTTCGGCCCCGGGGGAGACCGTGCACCTCCCCCCTCCTACTCCATCTTTCCTCGCTGTCCTTCTCCTGACTTCGGTCCCTGATCTTTGAGGATCTAGGTTATGTGTGTGTTTGTGTGTTTGCATGCGTGCGTGGGCGTGCGTGTGTGCGTGCGTGCGTGCGTGCGTGGGTGTCTGTGTGTGTGTGAATGTGTGTGTGTGTGTGTGTGTTTGTTTGTTTGTGCGTGAATGTGCGGTGCGTGTCATTTCCGGGCTTCTCGCGCTGCGCGCGAGGGACAATTTGGCGACCGCGATCGCGCCCGTCAAGTAAAACGGGTGTTTGCGTGTATACATGCGTGCGTGCCTGCGTGCGTGCGCGCGTGCGCGTGCTCGTGCGAGCACGTGCGCGCGCGTGTGTGCGTGTGTGTGTGTGTGATTTTGTGGTTGTGTGGTTCGGTGTGTGTGTGTGTGTGTGCGTGATCGGGCCCGGTCTCCCCTCCCTCCCGCCCGCGCCAGGCTTCCTCTCCCCCCATCTGTATGTCCTACACATGATATCTCCGCCAGCGCAGCCACTCTGCCTAGCCACACACACACACACTCGTTATCTGGGAAGCTATCTGGACTCCGTGAGGGCGGGCGCCCGCGCGGCAGCGGGGCCCGTGCACCAAAAGGCTTTTTGCTTGCGCTTCGCGCGCGTCCGGCCCGGAGGTACGCACACCCAGGGTGCGGAGCTACGGTGCGCCACGCAGAATGTCCTGAACGCAATCCGCTTAATTTTTTGTTGTAAGAAAAATCATGTTTTAAAGGAGGAGAAGGCGGAGGATTATGGACGAGGAGAAGGAAAAGGAGCAGGAAAAGGACGAGTAGGAAAAGGAGGGGGAGGAGAGAGGAAGAGGAATAGGAAAAGGAGCAGCAGGAGGTGGAGAAGGAGGATAACAAGGAGGAGAACAAAGAGGATAAGGAGAAGGACGACCATCCAGGGCCTAAGTCAGAAACAGCCTGATGGCACTGCCCCCAGAATGGTATCAAGTGGGGGGTCTGGGGGGCGAGCCCCCCGGATTATTGGTTTTTGCAACGTCCCAGGATCCGCCCAACCTTCGGGGCCAGGGTTTTGGGCGACCGAGCGACGACGTCCGCGGGAAATTCTGAGCTGACCCCCGTGCGCTTGGGTTCAAGGAGTGGTTGCGAGCGTGCTTGCGCTCGGCGTTCCTGGGTGGATGCGCGGCGGAGTGTCGTAGCCCACTGGGCTGGGTTGCGGAAGTTGCGGATGCAATCCCCTCGCGGGGGCCGGACTGGCTATCTCATCCGTGTTCGCATCAGCGCAGGAGGAGGAGGAGAAGACCCACCGCCCCGGGACAAACAGAAGCAGCCTGTTGACAATTTCCAAGGTGATATCAAAGGGGGGTCCGGGGGGCGAGCCCCCCGAATTGTTTGATTTGGGGGAGTCCTCGGGCTCGCCGCATCTCTCGGGCCAGGGGCGCGGGCGATAAAACTACCAAATCCGCGCGCGCATTCTGAACTGACCTCCGCGCGCTTGGGTTCGACCAGCAATTGCAGGCCCTGGCAGAAGTCGAGGCGATCGCCGTGGCACGCCCTTGAGGGGTTATCCTTGGCTAGTGTCTCCATTGTTTCGAATTGCGCTCGGAACGGTACCCGGGCTGAAACTTCGCCTAGCTCGGCGGACGCGCCGCGGGGCGTCGCAGCCCACGGGGCCGTTTTGCGGAAGCTGCGGATGCAATCCCCTTTTCGGAAGCCAGACTGGCCATTTGAGGAGCGCTCGCAGGTTTCGAGGGCTGCGCGCCCTTCCTCGTGGGAGCCTGCCTTGCGCATGTTCATAGCGTTCGTGCGCATGCCTTTTTCCTCCTTTGCTTTCTTGTCTCCCTCTCCTTGAGACGCATCATCGTCAAGCGCGTCGCGGTAAAGACGACGACTGTCGAGCGCGTTCCTCGTTTTCTTTGACTTAGCGAACGTGTGTGAGCATCTGCCAGCAGCTTTCTGTCTCTGCAGCCGTCCGTGGTTCGCTCCAGAGCTCACATTGCTTCTCTTTGCAGTTCGCTCGCCTTCTGTCGACGACATGGCTGCCCCACGACGCGCCAGTCGAAGAGGCGGGCCAAGGCGACGGGCCAGCAGAAGTGGTCTCCGGGCGACCGCTTGGGGGATGCGATGGTCTGGCATAAGAACATGAAGGTTTGTTTTCGTCCTGGCGTGCTGTTGTCGTCGAGCCGCCGTCGTCGTGTGCTTAGTTGTCATCGACGTCGTCGTCGTCGTCGCCCTTGCTTTTGTTATCGTGCTGGTTTCCACCGTTGCTTCGCTCGTTGCCGCCGTCGGCGTCCTCGCCGGACCTTGACGAAGCACCCCGTGAAGACCGCCGTCGCCCCGGACGGCGGCAGCAACGATTCTCTGTGGAACTGCGTCGAAAACTGTGAACTGCCCGGTTCCCCCGAAGCTCTCGCTACGCAGCTCGTCGGTGGAAACTGCGAGATCTTTAATGGCGAGCGGGTTTACGTCGGCGTCTCGATGGCTGCGGGAGCCATCGAGCACGTGAACTAGATGCTCGTCGATGGCGCGGCGGGGGAGTTCCTTTGCCCCTCCGCGCTGGCCGCGCGGGAGGCTCTGTGAAACAAGCGAGAGCTGGAGGCGGCGAGCCAACGGCTGAACTCCCAGGGGCGATTCTTTCGTCAAGGGCGTTCCAGAAATCTTCAGAACGGCTGCAGTGGCCGTCGGCCTTCCACCACATTCGCAGTTTTTGCTGGCCAGCGGGCCATGCAGTATCCCGCGGGTCTGTATAATAAAACAAAAGGCTGCCACGCCGGCTCTACGTCAGAAGTCGGAGCTCCTCGATCCTCGGGCCCCCAGTGAGCTTGTGGCGCTCGTTGACTTGGTTTGCGATTGTCAGAATGGACTATCCAAGAGCAGCCACAGACAGGAATACTGCCGACCATAGGGCGTTAATGTCTCGAAATGGGCACGGTCGTAGTCGTCGCGCTTTTCTTGTGCGCGCCGCAAGGGATCCCATGACCCAAGACAACGCTGGAGGACGCAGTGAGCCGGCAGAGTGGCTTACTCGGCAAAATCCAATGGAAAACCACAAGCGCGCAAAACTTACATGTGCTGTTTAGGCGAGCTCTTTTAGTTGTGCCGTTTTATCATGGAGACCTGAGTATTTGCGTGCAGGACATCATGTTTTGGTCACGGATGCCACGCGCGTTGTCCTGACATTCGCTGCCCCCAAAGCGTCGCCAACAGCGCTTCTGAGACGCGCGCCCCCCCCCCCCCCCTTTCCCCTCCGCGTTGTCCCGGCCCCCCCCCCCCGGACAAGGCAGGCAGAAAGCGCCCTGAGGAATTCGGGTTGCATCCTAAGGTCCAGGCGCGACGGAAAGAGGGCTTGGAACTCAGGCGGGCACAGGCCTACCCCAGCGAAGTCCGCGACCCGCCCTCGGCGAAGAAAAGCCGCGCGCTACTTTCTGCCGCGCGCGAGCGCTGCCAGGAGGGGCTGGACATGCCGGGCCGAGTTCTTCTCGCGGGCAGCGGGCGCGCGCGTTGACACTGCCCGGTTTCTTTCGATGGGGTTCGTCACTTCGCCGTGAGTTATGGCTAAACAGCTCCGAAACCAGAAGGCGCTGGTCCCCGCGGCCTTCGGGGGGCTCGCTAAGGCGCGCGCTTCCGCGATAATTAGCCTGGCGAAGGACCCAACCATATGCAACTGTGAATACCGCAAGTGTGAATATCGTTTTCGGCGGCGCTACCTCTGGGTAGTGGAGACGCATGCGAACACCCCCACTGGGGCCTTCGGTGGAGCTCCCTATGGGGCTACGAAACGCTGCCCTGGGTGGGGGAACCGCATGCAGGCAGCCCCACTGGGGCCTTCGGTGAAGCTCCCTGTGGGGCCACGAAACGCTGCCCTTGGTGGGGGAACCGCATGCGGGCACCCCCACTGGGGCCTACGGTGGAGCTCCCTCTGGGGCTACGAAACGCTGCCCTGGGTGGGGGAACCGCATGCAGGCAGCCCCACTGGGGCCTACGGTGGAGCCCCTATGGGGCTACGAAACGCTGCCCTGGGTGGGGGAACCGCATGTGGACACCCCCACTGGGCCTTCGGTGGAGCTCCCTCTGGGGCTACGAAACGCTGCCCACCGCGAAACGGCTGCCCTGGGTGGGGGAACCGCATGCGACACCCCCACTGGGGCCTTCGGTGGAGCTCCCTATGGGGCTACGAAACGCTGCCCTGGGTGGGGGAACCGCATGTGGACACCCCCACTGGGGCCTTCGGTGGAGCTCCCTCTGGGGCACGAAACGCTGCCCTGGGTGGGGGAACCGCATGCGGACACCCCCACTGGGGCCTTCGGTGGAGCTCCCTATGGGGCTACGAAACGCTGCCCTGGGTGGGGGAACCGCATGTGGACACCCCCACTGGGGCCTTCGGTGGAGCTCCCATCTGGGGCTACGAAACGCTGCCCTGGGTGGGGGAACCGCATGTGGACACCCCCACTGGGGCCTTCGGTGGAGCTCCCTATGGGGCCACGAAACGCTGCCCTGGGTGGGGGAACCGCATGTGGACACCCCCACTGGGGCCTTCGGTGGAGCTCCCTATGGGGCCACGAAACGCTGCCCTGGGTGGGGGAACCGCATGCGAACACCCCCACTGGGGCCTTCGGTGGAGCTCCCTATGGGGCCACGAAACGCTGCCCTGGGTGGGGGAACCGCATGCGAACACCCCCACTGGGGCCTTCGGTGGAGCTCCCTATGGGGCCACGAAACGCTGCCCTGGGTGGGGGAACCGCATGCGAACACCCCCACTGGGGCCTTCGGTGGAGCTCCCTATGGGGCACGAAACGCTGCCCTGGGTGGGGGAACCGCATGGACACCCCCACCTGGGCTACGAAACGCTGCCCTGGGTGGGGGAACCGCATGTGGACACCCCCACTGGGGCCTTCGGTGGAGCTCCCTCTGGGGCTACGAAACGCTGCCCTGGGTGGGGGAACCGCATGTGGACACCCCCACTGGGGCCTTCGGTGGAGCTCCCTCTGGGGCTACGAAACGCTGCCCTGGGTGGGGGAACCGCATGTGGACACCCCCACTGGGGCCTTCGGTGGAGCTCCCTCTGGGGCTACGAAACGCTGCCCTGGGTGGGGGAACCGCATGTGGACACCCCCACTGGGGGGTGGGGGAACATGTGGACACCCCCACTGGGGCCTTCGGTGGGCTCCCACCCCCATGGGGCTACGAAACGCTGCCCTGGGTGGGGGAACCGCATGTGGACACCCCCACTGGGGCCTTCGGTGGAGGGGGAAACGGCCTGGGTCGCTGGAGCTCCCTATGGGGCTACGAAACGCTGCCCTGGGTGGGGGAACCGCATGTGGACACCCCCACTGGGGCCTTCGGTGGAGCTCCCTCTGGGGCTACGAAACGCTGCCCTGGGTGGGGGAACCGCATGTGGACACCCCCACTGGGGCCTTCGGTGGAGCTCCCTCTGGGGCTACGAAACGCTGCCCTGGGTGGGGGAACCGCATGTGGACACCCCCACTGGGGCCTTCGGTGGAGCTCCCTCTGGGGCTACGAAACGCTGCCCTGGGTGGGGGAACCGCATGTGGACACCCCCACTGGGGCCTTCGGTGGAGTTCCCTATGGGGCTACGAAACGTGTGAGAGGTGTGCCGAGAGCAGAGGCAAGGAGGGGGAGGAGGGAGGAGGGGGAGGAGGAAGGAGAGGAACGCGGGGCACCGTCTCTGCAAAACGAGGACCCAACACCACAGGATGGTTGGGAAAAAAACACCCCCCCTCAGTTTTTCGTGGCCGAGCTGGCCGCGGACAACCGCGTCAGAGCAGCCGCGCCTGCCGCGGGCCCACAGGCCCCCACTACAGCAGGGAGGGTCGCTGACCTGAACTTCAGCGACGCAATGGGCGAAGGTGCACCGAAGGAGGCCGCGGATGACCCAGTCGCCGCTGTGCGAGACGTTCAGCTCGACAAAATCTCGACCGCCCCGGCCAAGAAGCTCCCGGGGCCGAGCAGTCCGAAGATCTGCGGAAGGAGGCGCTGCCCTGGCGCCAGCCCTGTGCTCGCCGACGCCGTCGGCGAGCTCGAGGCCCGATTCCAGGCGTTGAAAGCTGCCGTCGCGGCCATCGAGGCCGAGCTCGAGGAGCCGAGCGAGGCCCCCAAACCGAAGATGCAGCGCTGTGAAACAGGCGGCCCCGAAGCGCGGGCGGAGCCGCCGCGAGGCGGCCCGGGTTTCTGGGCGCGCGCGCGTCGGCGCAGCGGAGGGGGATCGGGGTCGACGCTCGCACTGCAAGGGTAGGTCCACAGGGGCGGGAGGGATGCTCAGGATGCAGGGCGCCCTCTTTGCCGCGCCGCCTTTTCCCAAGCGAGAGCGCGGGGGCGGGCGGGGGGCGGGGTTGACGCGCGCGAGGGTCGGGCTCAGAGGGATGGGCGTGGGGTGGGGGGGGGGGGGGTAGATTTTAGACGCTCGCCGCGGCAGAGCACGCCTGCTCTTGAATGGCAGGGGGGATGGGCTGACACGCGCAAGGGTGTAGGGCAAGTGGGAGGGGGGGGGGATGTTCGGGCGCTCGCCGCGGCAGGGTATGATCTTTTGCACTTCTAACGTCTTTGTTCCCGATTTCGATTCCGCGCCTGAGAGAGAATGGCCGGCCTGGTTGCGCCGAGGCTCCGGGGACTCGGCTTCCCAGAGGCTTCGCTAACATCGAAGTGCAGCATCCTTGACGCGAGGAATGCGACGCGGAGAAGTCAGTTGTTCACAGAGTTTCTCAGGCGCTGATTCTGCTTCCGTCGAAGATTTCGGGCCCCCTGGCCTCAGGGGTTCTTCAGGGCGCTGGCCCCAGAGATCCTCAGGCGCCCCGGCCCCTGGGGGGCCTCGGGGACGCCCGGGGGCGCCCGCGGCGCTGGCCCCAGGAGGAAGCCGAATGTCATTGCGACCTTAGGTTGCAAGGCGCCTGTTTCACACCTCGAGGGGGGGCATGGCCCCGGGCGCCAGGGGGCCCTCGCCCAGGGATAGAGGGGGCAGGGCCCCCGGCCCCAGGGGTTCCTTAGGGCGGCGAACCCCCCTGGGAGCTTCAGGAACGCCCGGGGGCGCCCAGGGCGCTGGCCCCGCGCAGGACCCTGAAAGCCGAATTTCATTGCAACCTCAGGTTGCCAGGCGCCGGCTTCGCACCTCGAGGTTGGAACCGAATTTTTCCCGGGGGAGGGGGGCGGCGCGGCCCCGGGCCCCGGGGTTCCCCGCCCAAGGATAAAGGGGGACAGGGCCCCCAGCCCCAGGGATTCCTCAGGGCGCTGGCCGCGGATATCCTGAGGCGCCCTCCCCGGGAGTCAGGGGCGCCGGGGGGCGCCCGGGGGGCGGCGCTGGCCCCGGGAAAAAGCCGAATTTCATTACAACCTCAGCTTGCATGGTGCCTGCTTCAACTCGAGGTTGTAATCCAACTTCTCTCGAGGGAAGAGGGGGGACAGGGCCCCTGGCCCCGGGGGTTCAGGGCGCTGGCTCCAGAGATCCTCAGTCGCCCTGGCCCGTGGGAGGCCCCGGGAATCTGGGGGCGCTCAGGGCG